TCAAGGTACTTCATGTTGTAAGGTGAAGACCGTACAATAACACACAGACGACCCCCCACAAGCAAGCACAAAAGGAAAAACTCTTTAACAGGATGAAGCCTCCAGCAGAACCAGGCTCGGGGAGGAAGACAAAACACACACATCTCTAACTCCTGAAAGCCTCTTAATTAATGCTTGTGTGTATTACATACTTTGTAAAGCACTTGGTCAGTGAACACTGTTTTAAATGTGCTTTATAAATAAATGTAGCTTTCTGTCAACTTTTTATTTGTAGCTTTAGCATTTTTAATGAAGCCATGCCAATTTTTACCTTTATTCTATGAAACTGCAAGTTTTATAGCCTTGAACTAAACAGAGGTGCTTTTTAATTCACTGTATTTTTCCAGGATTTCCGAGCTCTTATACCTTCATAAGTGTGTGCAATTTCCAGGACTGAAAGACACGCTTCAGCTCAATTTTACACCCACTCCAGCGTCACAATTTAAAGACAAAATCTTTTTTTTTGTGAGATGTTCCACACTGCACCAATTTTAATGTCCATGACGTAGGCTATTAGGAAATGGTTTTTCCTCCAATTTTCTGATAATACCCTGGAGAATAACATGAAAAGTGCTTTTTTTTGGGCAAACTTTTAGAGGGCACATCATCACATTTTGACACTCGTCTTCCTGCCGTGATTTCATCTGCTTTAAAATTGCTTTCTATTAGAGTCCTGTTTTTTTAAATGAAGAAAAAATTAACAAAATTAACTATTAACACGTCCTGAAATGTTTTTTCAAAAACCTTCTAGTTTGAGCACAGATCTTATTTTGCTGATTTAAACAACTTTATATGGGATGACCCTTCCCCAAGTATATGATATCCTCCTATTAGCAACCTGGAAATCTTCTGAAAGTTTTAAGACAGCTGAGGAAAAAATATTTGATTCAAATCCTTCAGGATAAATGGGTAGAAAGTATTAAACATGCAAAATTTCCAAATTTACATCAATTCTGTGTATCCACATTTTTCTGATATTTTCAACGGTGTGTCAAAACGTATCAGCACTGGAACCAGAAGCCGGATCACTTATCACCAGAGTTTGTGAGGCTCTTTTTGGACGAGCTGACACAGCGGGCTGTGATCTAACCTTTCCATGTGGATTAAACACGGTAAGATTAAGATATACACTCTCAATGTAACATGTTCACGAATCGTTTCATATCATACTTTGCATGTAGAAGTTCCTAATCTGCAACCTAAACTGATCCTGTTGAGATCTGTGAGTAAACAGTGAGAAATCAGAAAGGTTTAGGGATTTAAAAGACACACATTTTTATGTTTTCTACATATCTGTAATGGCATAGAGAATTTATAATCCTTATTATACTCCTTGGCTCAAAATAATACTTATAATGTACTATATGTACAACCCTAACCCTGCTAACCTTCATTGACACATATATAAAAATAAACAGACTCATTTATGTATACTCAAACATCTTTTTTATAATCAAAAATATCATCCAAGCATTTACAGTGTATTACAACAAATGATTCTATGCAACTGTTAACCGCCTTTACAGAAAATGAAGAAATATATCTATTTTTTGATCTATGTTACAAACCAGGAACAGCAAAAAAGAGAAGAGAGGGAGGGTTGAAGTGTTCAGGCGTACCCTGATTACCTCCCAGTGTAGCCCTGTGGACCGGGCCCACACTGACACCGCACAGAGCCAACTGTGGGCTTTGAAATCACAATGCCCCGCCCCCTGTGGGCAAAAAACGACAGAATAATCCAGTGACTGTAGGAATCGGTGCTGTTCTGCGACTCGCGGGGAGTCATCGCGTCTAAAAATATTTAGCCGACATCGAGAAACTGAGTTCAAGCTCATGAAGACTGCATCACCGGGGCTTGGTGTCAACACTACTGTAACCATGGAAATGCAGCATTTTCACGTCTCTGCCACCCACACAGAGTCCCTGAAATGCTGTTAACTTTCCTCTCTGATCCGTGCTCAGTCTGCTGTGTCCTCGTACAGGCAGGCGCAGTCCGGTCTTTGATAGCTGTGGACTTTACATGGTTTCTGTCACATGTCTACAGTATATCAGTGTTGCCTCGTCCGCCTGTTTTCTCCTCCACAAGTGCCGCCGGCGGTCTCTACGTGCTCTTGATGCCCTGAAAGCCGCAGAAGTTCCAGCGTTTCTCTAGACTGGCTCCGACACCAGTTAGCTCCTGTCTGAAGGTGCAGGGCAGCCGAGAGAGAAGAGACTCCACCTCGGTGGGGTTGATCTGCAAACACAGGTACAGGTTATAAGCCCACATTGTCTAAGACATATCTATCTGCACCTGTGCACGACACAATCACATTCATTAAAAAAAGGTATTTTTGCACAAATCACACCTGAAAGTAGTAAAACCGCTGAGGAACCAGCACCAGACCACAGGTCATATCAGCTACTGTCCCACTGACCTGTTGTGACGTCACTCGACTCTCTTAGAACCCTGTTTTGACTTTCCTTACATGAGATAAAACACTTACACAGTTATTAGGAGCCAGATGTTGGAGTTAAGCAGTGGAACTATTAATTACATCACATCTTGATGGACAGCTTATCACTACAATTAAAACCTCTTGATTTATTTTTTGATTTAAAATCATTTAAAAAAATATTTTAACTTAAAACTGTCAAAGTCTGCTCATGGCACTGAAGTAAGCGGTGCAACTGTGTTTTAATCATCATGTGACCATGATCGGTTCATTCCTCTTGTTAGCAGACCTGAGGAAGGTCATTCAGGTCTTTATCTCCTCCAGACTTAATTATAGTGATGTGCTTTTTTGGGGGGGGTTTTACAGGAAAAACATTAAGGAACTACAGCTAGTCAAGAGTCCTGCTGGTGGAGATAATCTATCACAGCCGCGTCCTGACTGTCCTTCACTGACTTAGAGGAGTTTAAGATCTTTGCTACCTTTGAAAACTTTGTGGGAGTGGGAACCTTTGTGTGACAAAACGCAGCTTTGCCTTCTCCTGTCACTGCCGTACAGACTCATTA